TATAATATAATATTTTGGCTACAGGAACCGAATGCGAGTTGTGATGTCGAGAAGTGTGTTGACAAATAGTCAGTGGCTGAATAACTAAACAGTAGCTTACAAGTAGGGACAATTTGAGTTCCGCTGATTTGGTAGAGATAGTATATTAGTAACAGTTTGATAATACAATTATACAATGATTGAATGTAGCGGTCATTTCGTCTCTAGGTTGGTTTGTGTGTACCCCAGGGTCGTAACGCAGAGCGGATCGATAGACAGTACACATCCACAACAAGACTGTTGGCAGCGGCAGGTACCTATTAGATGTATACATACCCGATACAATGTCGAACGCAACAACGCGTAGTATCAAGAGCTAGCGTCCACTCCAGCCAGCCTCTATTGTGCTTTAAGGTTTACGAGGAGACTCGACAGATGGCTCGCGGCGTAGAACCACGGAGGACAATTACCAGATAATTTAGATGGACTCAATGCAAGCCATCTATTCTATTTTGAACAACATAAGTATGCCGAGTACTGTCCTTTATTGACGCAGATTAAAGTTGAAGCCCAGCGCATGTGTATAGTAGTTATACAATATACAAAATAATAATGGCATATCGTTTGGGACAGACATTTTCGTTTACTTGTTGTGGGGGGGGGGGGGGGATTTACTTTAAATATTCGCTGTTCCTTGGGATCGCCATTACTTGGCGTTTGAACAATCCGCAGACACTCCACAATGCTGTAATACAATACAATAGAGTCAGACCGAGCGAACGATCAGCATTGTTTACTATCACTTTTTAGACGAAGGCTATATAATATGTATAAAAAGGAGATTTATTTTCTGTTTGCTATCCACTTTCTAAACGTTCCCATGTTATTTATTGCCATTTGCAAGGGATCTGATTTATAGATAAAAGCTCGGTCGGGTTAAAGTTTTGCGAAACGTCTCCGGTCTGAGATGAGCGCGAGTGAAAACTCTCGACGCGAATGTGTCCGTGAAAGCTTTGTTGTGTACGCGAGCCGCTGACACGCGCCACGTTCTCAGCGTGTCGGTGCCACGCCGCTACTACTACTTCATTCTGTGTTAGTTAGAAACGGGAAAATATTGTATTTTAGCAAATACCAACTCAATCTTACTTGTTAATATCATAAATGTGCGAGTTTGTGAAGAAATTTTCATGACTTGATCTTAATTTTTTTTTGTTTTGTTTGTATTTTGGACCATAAAATTGCATGGCGGGCTACGGCTTCTGTACAGTTTAGTCAACGAATGATAAATTCTAATAATACGTGAGTAGTGGCTTTTATGTTAGTATACATATAATTAGAAGCAGTGGGTATAGATTTATTATTTTTATTGTTTATACTAACTAAAAAAACTCGAATTCAAACAACTAAGTGCTACTGAGATAGACCTACAGACTAGATTGTGATTATATATGGATTCTATATTGTGTTCCGAGTTGCAATTTTGTCAAACAACACCCAAAAGATTAATCGTGGGAGTGTTAGTGTTCTCTGCTACGTTGTCGTTGTATTTGTTTCTACGAGCAGACAGAGGCTGTTTCAGCGGCCGTCGGCTAAATCCAATAACAGGTATAGGCAATGGTATCAACGACCTGCTTGAATATTTGTATTATTCTTTAATGCTATAAAGAGTAAATAAATAGTAGGTAAAGACTAACATTTTAATTATTAATTCAATAAAGCGTTTAAGTTACATATTTATGCAAATTTATAAAAATCTAACTCTATTATTGAAGAGTACATAGTAAAACACATCAGTACTCCCATCTCCGAAAATTATTCAATATTTTAAAAACAATTTTTTTAAGTAATAACAGTCCGTTTATTTGTCATTCTAAGTTGCGTAAAAAACATTTTGTATTTATAAATTACTTGTAAATTATTGTAACTTATTTGAGATTTTGTGCGGTGGTAAATCCAATCATCTAACGGCGCTTATTGAATGTGTCGCTCAAATTTAAAATAATACATAAAATAAAAATTTAAAATAATCATAAACATAAAAAAAAATGCATCGTAATAAGGAAAGTGCTCACGTAGTATATACATATTATGTACACAGCTACACACGCGGATATATAATTGTGAATTAAACTTTGAAATGGAAATTGTAGAGTTTTCATTCTGAAAGCGTGCTTGTAGTTTTCATTATAACTTTGAAATCGGGTTCATAATTGTACATAGTTACGAGTGGAGAGCTGAGTGCACAATGACTTTTGAGTGGAACGTTTATGTTAAGTTTAACCCGAAAAGTCAGTTAAGATTTAGTTCTTACGTGCATTTATTCTACTTCTAGAATTTACACAATCTTTTATACTATTGTACAGCTGTATCTTGCAATATAGAATCCTATATATTAATTTAGTTCTAAAATTTATCAGTTAATCTTTTTATAAACTTCTACAAGTAATTTTATAATATCCACTAACATAGAATGATAATAATAACGCGTGTCGAGAACTTCGTAAAAGCCGAAATGGAGAAGAAGAGAAAGTATCTCGACTTGGCTCACGATGTGACCGAAATTTAGGGAAAAATTCAACTGAAATCACTCCAATCGTTCTGTTAGTGAACGGTCTAGATCCAAAGTCCAACCAGTCTAGATCAACAACTCAGCCGGTTGGGATTCTAAAGCAGCTCATCCAAAGATGTAAAAAGCGGAATTCTTGGATACTACCTACATAGTGCGCCGGTTTCTCTCTCTGGGGCTTTGACTGTGCTTTTTCCGGGGTTTAGTTTGTCATCTCCTCTTTTTAAGAGAGAAGATGTGAATTTTGTTTAAAAAAATAATATTTTTTTTGTTTCAAATATGATCTATACAAATGGTCTTAAATTATAATAGTGCTACACGTTTCATCTTTTTTTATACAACTTAGAATGGCAAACAAGCTGTCGGCCCACCTGATGGAAAGTGGTAACCGTTGCCTATAGACATGAGCAGTACCATAGACATAACAGAGTATACTGTTTCGCCCATGATACCCTCGTGCGTTGCCATTCCTGAGTATTCAGGTGTTATTCCTCTGAACCCTGTAAATTCACGCCATATCCCACCCTTCAAATCGAAACACAGCCATGAAAACACAAATGGGATAGAGGTACTCAAGCAAACAACTTTTGTACATCTCTTTTGTACATGTCTGGTATATCTGGTAAATCTTATTTAAAGCCATACAAAATTTTAAATTATTACAGGGTCAGCAATCCGCACGTGACCTCCCCTAGTGTAGCAGGCGTCTATAGGCTACAGTGACCGTTCACTATCGGACGGGCTGTGTGCTTGTTTGCCGCCTTCGTGGTATATGAAAATAGAGTATTCTTGAATTTGTTTAATCTATGTAAAGATTAAGCGTTCTGTAAAGTGTTGTTACAAATTAATTTTGTGAAATATCGTTTTATCCTAAGCGGTTATCGACGCCGACATTGAGAGTTTCGGAAGTACTCCTCTACAACAGAAACGAGTCATCATTATTTGAGTGCCGTATGAATTTTTTAATGCCTTTTTTTATTACATGATAATAGGGTTGTAGCCTCGTCAGCACTATCGGTATTTCCTGGCGGGGCACCAGTGAAGGATGATAGATGAAAATGAAGGCAGCTCAATTGACCTATCGTAACGTGACGAATTCATCAAGATTAACCATGATAGTTTCTAGGGGGAATTGTGTAGAAACCATCCTGGCAGTATATAGCCAGCAATGGGATTGCTTGTCCTCATTGATAACGACATTGTAAACCTCTTGTCATTTTACTATTGAACACTGGATCCCTAATATTATAAATTAACATAAATTTAATTTTATGATTTGACATTGATTGCACGAAATATGATAAAATTAATTATACCTAAATGTTTATTACGATTATAATCATAAGATTTTTATATGTCAGTCCGGAGAAACCGGCTCAGCTCCAGCTCATTCAATTTATACGTGTAATAAAATAAAACCAGTGGATGAGTACAAGTGCTGTCACTCACATAAAGATAAATTAAATGGGGTACATATCAGTAATAAGGGCCTATATCGATAGAAATATGGATGTTGACGATATGGATGTTCTAAAGATAGCTATTGAAAAAATACGAGCAGCAGTGTATCTGATTTGAATGATATTAGGAAAAACAGGAAGAGGATTGGAGTCAATATGAAGACTCCGCGGCGCGACCGCGGGCGTCGCGGCATACTGCGAGCGGCCGTCACTTGCATGAATAATTTATAATCGATTTATCAATGTTGGTGCTGGCGTCGGGCGCCGGCGGGGGCTGGGGCGCGCCGCGGGGCGGGCGTGGTCCGCGGGCGGGTGGTGGAGGATGCTGGCAACTGGCACCGTGCCAGCATTACACAGCTACGCTCGCCGCCCGGACTCTCACGGCAATTTGCAAATTGCCACAGGCTACAGGTGTAAGGGTTAAGAATCGACTTTGTTTGCAATTATCGTTTGTATTTTAAATTATATTGTCAAGTAACATTCGATGTAGGGGAATGACAGTATTGTCATCGGTTTTTCCATACATTTGACGTTTGGATAGATCACAATTTTTACTCGGATAGTGCGTCAATGAAGTGGAGTTGATAATCTCTTCAGCTATTCTCGTGTCGATATTATTATCTTTTGTGCGTAAAAGATATTAATGTCGGAAAAGTAAAAAAATTGCTGCCACCCACACTACGTTTCCAGCCCTCGATTGAAGAGGGGTGTGTTTATAAAGCTTTTGTCTGGTTGTTTGTGTATATATCTGATTGATTTGGAGCATTGTGCTCGTAATTTTTGAAACAATGTACTTAAATTTTTGTTATTATTTTTGGCGGAAATAGATGTTCGTACCTATTTGTCAGCAGTTGTTATCATTATCATAAAGCAGATAACATTTTGTTTGAGAAATCAGTTGAGGGTACGATAGGACTGATATATCTGAAGAAGGCAAAAGCCCTTAAAATAAAATAAAAAAAAATCATTATCATGTTAGTGAATTATGTACTCACAAGTAGTGCAAGCGGTGTGCGTCCCGCAGCGCGTGCGCGGGCAGCCGGCGCAGCGAGCAGCGGTCCAGCCACAGCCGCGCCAGCGCCGCGCCGCTCAGCGCGCCTGCCGCCACCGACTCCAGCCGGTTGGACGACAGGTTGCTGTGCCATAAACAAAACACTAGTTACTGCATAATACACCGCTGCTGGTTAAAGGGGGGCAGTGATTCTATTCCTCTAATTGGTACTGCAACGGTATCTTAACGGATCAGTCGCTGAAAAAGCACTTGCTTATGGCACTTCATGAAAAGCACTGATTTTAAAGTTGTATGTATAACAAGAGAGAGACTTTGTACAAATGTCGTATTCTTGGGTACCTTTGTCGTGAAGCAGTCACGTTTGCATGGCTTTGTTTCGATATGAAGGATAATGAAATTACGGAATAGGTACATGGGCATAACGCTTTAAGCCTCAGGAAGGGCAAAGCATTTTCATGCGTATTATTAGCGACACAGTATATTCTGTTATGCCTATGGTACTATACCACTTTTCGCAAAAGGATCGGCGATGGCAGTCGAGGTGAAAATTTAAAATATATTCCTCTTTAAAAAATGGATCAGTGAAAATGAGGAGGCTGCTTAACAAGAGTTATTTGCATTTATAAAAATCTAGTCGATGGCTGCGACTTCTCACGAAGACACACGCTGTATCTTGGAGCAGATAATAACAGAGTAGCCCTGATACTCGTATTGTAGTGTGCTGCATGTACCAGTAGCGCCCTTATGCTCCCGCATACCTCGCGACCTCGCCTCTCGCTTGCATCGCTCGCGTCGCGGCGTCCGGCGCGCCGAGACGTGTTACAAACAATACACGTATATCGATTGGAGCGAGGTAATGTCTATTATGATAGTTCTCCCTTAATTCGATTCTTTATTGATAGTGCCCATCTTAAAATAAATTTTATAAATTATAATATAATGAATCCTATACTATAATTTTGTGTCAGTTTTTGATGTCGGTGTACATATAGTAAGAGTGATTTGTTGTAGTACCAGTAGTAGGTACTCACAGGTCCCGAAGTGCGACGGCGGGCTCGAGGGCGTCCCGCGGCAGCGTGCTTATGTTGTTATTTGACACGTCTCTGCAACAATAGTGGTGTCATGTAATATATGAGCACAGCCACACAGCCAGTAACACCGCGCACACATGACGGAATGAACTCGAGATACTGGAGGGGAAAGGAATTGTTAACAATGGAGTTTGACAGCCCCATTACCAGCAATATGCACTATTAGGTCGACCTCCACGCGATTTCTCCTGGAAACCATAGTGGTTAATTCTTATTCAATTGGTCACTATGGGCTAACTGATCTGCTTCATCCTCATCTATCATTCTTCACTGGTGCCTCGCCTGCGTATACCGATAGCGCGGGTGGGGCTACCATTCCATTATCACCTATTAAAAAAAACTCTAGATACTCTTTTGTCAGTCTCATTAATAATGAAATGCAATTATAGAAGAAAATAATATATGTCAGTATGGAGCCAATAGTAAAGGTTTTGTGCCACTTGTCCGTGGTGATGTTCTTATCACCAAGCGACAATTACCATTTCACTACTACTAGTGGGTTACTATAAAATATAAATAGGTATATTTAGTAACAAGGGCGTTGAAACATAAAGTACTCGTGCGTATAATGTGGATTCAACAGGACCGGGTATTTCTGCTTGTTAAATTGCTCAAAAATTAATTAGAATCTATTTGTAGTTCGAATACGATAGATAATGTACAGAGGGAGGGAGGACAATACCAGAGGGAGACAATACCAGTGTACAAAAGTCGATTGCTTGGGTACCTCTGTCCCATTCGTGTTTCAACCGTGAAGCAGTTGTGTTTGCATGGCTGTATTTCAGTTTGAAGGGTGGGATATGGCGTGAATTTACTGGGTACAGAGGAATAACACCTGAGTCCTCAAGAACAGCAACGGATGGGGGTATCATGGGCGAAACAGTATACTCTGTTATGTCCATGGTACTGCTCATGTCTATAGGCGACGGTTACCACTTTCCATCAGGTGGGCCGTCAGCTTGTTTGCCAATCTAAGTTGTATAAAAAAAAATGTACACCACCAATTCACATGAGGAGTTTTAAACGCAAATCGCCCACTTATCAGCATGAATATTTAATATGCGTAGAACTGTGAATGCGTCGCCTCCCCTGTCCCCTGTTCACATGAACAGTTCCAATGACATTATTACGAGAGTGTTATCGCTCGTAATCACGCCTATTCTATTCGTATCACGCAGATTTAACTTGCGGAAAATCTTACCGAACAAGCGATCGGATACATTCACGCAAACACTTAAAACTAAGATTGTCTTCGAACTTGAGTAGATAGTAGTGATAGAGGAACTTGATAAAGTGTTATGCGCGGCCATTCACAAACAACTATATCCCGCAGTTGATAGCCACTAGCGCGCCCCGACGAACTCGGGTGGTCGTAAAGTGTTCATTAAACAGAACTCGATAACAAGTAAGCGGCGCGGCGGCTCAGAGCACCCGGGCTGTTGTTGCCGAGCCGCGCCGCCGCGCCGCGCTCCACACCAACGTTACAAGTTAACGGCGGCCGGTGGATTTACGACGACCTCGTTATGGCACCTTCGCCACCACATGCGACCCGCCACACCGACCGACACTCCACACTACTTTATTGAATACGACTACTATAATTTTGTAGTGACACGACATATTTTTTAGTATATTCAATCAACCAATATTTCATACCCGCTGTGATAACGCCGATTGGTTTATTATTGTAAACAAATATTCCTTATTTAACAACCCGTTAACGAGTCTCTCCCTATAAAGGGGGGGACGTAGTATAAGTACTATTACTATGAGTATTCTGTCCTGGCGGCTGGCTTGGCATTATATAAAATTTCATTGTAAGTTTTCTTGCTTGCATAGGTGTATTATGCTTTGTTCCTTTAGTCTTGACTTACGACATCCTGGAGATTATAAGGAGCGTTGACGCCTTGTATCTTTACCATTACTCACCGTTGCCATGACATATACCACAAATTACTAACTAAATATGTAACACGAGAGCAAACAAACCAAGAAATATTATATTGTTCGTAATATTTTGTACTCTTTGGAATAAAGATGCATCGAAGCAACAAATATATATAGTACAAGATTGTGTAGACATCAAATGAATACTAGCTATACTGATGCAATAAAATATCATTGTACATTAATAAATAGTTTTTTTGTTACATTTTCCGTTCCTTGCTGATATTTTCTCGAGGGAGCATGGCGTTTCATTTACGATGTGCACACCAGCACCAACACAAAAAACCAACATCTCAGATGCTCCGGGCGGCTACGTGCTACGCCGTAATTATGGTAACCGCTACGATAACTGGTACGTAAGCTAGTTAGATTGTTGTGAGATAAAAAATGCGCTGTTTTGCTCATAATATCTTTATATTTTTGAAGGTTATTTCATACTGATTTATTTAAATGTATCGAACCGGTTCTAAATAGATCCATCGACTAAATGATGCCTGCGATACTACACAGTATTTGTCAATACTGTACAAATGATAATAATGAAATTGTATTGATTAAAGTTTCTTTTTGCGCGGCTTAATTTGAAATTATCTGAAGTGTTAACCTCTAACTCAGTGCGATACATTGCCTCTTTCCGCGAAATGACCACGCAATATTTGCAATGGAGAGCAGTCGAGTACCTAACGAGTACTGTTGTGAATTGTCATTCTCGGCACACGAGTCGGAGGTAACGAGTCAAGGTGACGATTAAGTAAAACTTTTTGCAATCTCCGACGATGAGACGACATATCTTACGAAAAATTATTGTCCGTATATCGTGCAGATAATACTAAAGAAGTAACGCCATTTTATTACAACAGAATGTCCATTAATTAGTACTTTTTGGTATATTACTATAATTATAATGGTGCTAATATTTTTTTTTGTAATTCTACATACTATTTTATTTACTTGCACCACGTGTATTATGTTTGAACAGAAATAATAGTATATCACACGTATAGACAATTAGTATGAGCACAACATGGTGGCCTTATTGCTGATAGTAATCTTTCCACGACAACCTTTGACCTTTTTTTCTTTAGACTTTTTACAAGTTGACTTAGAATAGTAAACGTAAAAGTGTGGAGGCGGTTTTCATGACGTCAGTGTTGATAACAGGCAGCCAATGAACGGGGAACATTAACTGTATCTTGTTTCAGGAATCTGCAATAAATGGCGTGGCTAACGCCGACTGTTCCCGTCACGTGTTGTCGGCGTGGCGCCGCGCTATTCATGTTCAGACCTACTGAGATAAGGCCATGCATCACGTACAATTTACGGATTACATATTCATCAGGAGCGTCGCTGCTCAAAACTGGCTCACAGGCAGAAACGTCGCTCATTACATACACGATTTTATGTCAAAAAACAAACTTATTAATATTAAACACATATTAATTATGAATTGATTCATTGTATTCACTCTGCTAAATATTGATCTAATTAAACACTTGCTTTATGTTTTTTTTTTGTTTTTTTCTGGAATAGGTATAGTCGAATGAATTTTATAATTATTACCGTAATGAGTGAGACTAAATCCTAACTAAACTAACTAAAATATAACTTATTTATCTATACATAACTAGTTTTCCCTTTTAGATGAAATTCTCAGCTTAAGTTGTTTTTTAAACGTTCTAAAAATCTAATATCCTCAACGGGAGCCGCGATCGTTGGTCGTGGGTGGGGGGAGGGGGGTGACGGTTGGCGCGCGGCGTTGGCGACCACCATAAAACAAGGTATAAAGACAAGCATTGCGTAAAGATGTTAACTAAGTGCTAGCGATGCAGATCTTTTGTTACCATTGTATACGTACATACAGAACGATACTCAGTTTCCTGACCTTCTGCAGGAATAGAACAACTCACGACTCAGTTTCTGGACACTTTGAAATTACGATAGCAATTAGTTCAATAATCCACAAAAGAGAACTGTAACTTGCTGGAACAACGAATTTAGATAAATAATAATAAGCTACATGACACACTATTACAGAGTAATTAATAAATGGTCATTTCTTATGGTGATTGTCATAAAGTAATACTACAGAGGAAGACTTTGTACAAAAGTCGATTGCTTGGGTACTTCTGTCCCATTCGTGTTTCTTCCGTGAAGCAGTTGTGTTTGCATGGCTGTGTTTCCGTTTGAAGGGTGGGATATGGCGTGAATTTACAGGGAACAGAGGAATAACACCTGAGTCCTCAGGAATGGCAACGCTTTCCATCAGGAGAGCCGTCAGCTTGTTTGCCATTCTAAGTTGTATAAAAAAATATATATAAAGTGTTCATACAAATAACTCAGTGGAGAAAAATGCTGAGAGAGAAAAACGCTGGTTTTCAACTATTAGCCTGAAGGCTAATAGTTGAAAACCAGCGTTTTTCATTTCATTTCATTTCAGCATCGAGTACATACTTGTGAACAAGTATGTACTCGATGCATAGTTGAAGTGAAAACAATGGTAACAAAGCAATGGGTTGGTTTCAAATATGCATATAGAAAATGAATTTTTATATGACTCTATTTATTTATTACCTATCACTGTCATGTGATTGCTACTAGCTTTTACTACTGTTTGTTAATTGGTGGAGAGGAAACTTCTTGTAATAAATAAATAAATTATGCTTTAGAACTTATTATACGCTTTAGCATATCCATTGTACGGCGTGAACCATGCAGGACGATGTGTGAAGATGGTGCGCGACGTAACGTTAAGTATGAGAAAGGAGTTTCACTAGAGTCCGCTGGACCCGCTGATAATTGAATTCGCCGGTGGTTATCGGATATTGGGGTCCATCCATCACGGGCTGCGGTCGCCGACACGCGACGGTGACGCGCGGTTGTCACGCGCCGACGCGACGTGCCGGCCCCGCGCCTGCATCCCATCACACCTTATCTCGTTCATGCACCTCATTAATAGGTAGAGTTTATTCTGATTTATGTTTAATTTGGAATAAAATCAATAAAAGTAAGTATTTTAATCAATTGCGACCTGTTAATAAGTAGCGACATCTACAATAATGTTAATT